GTCGGACAAAAATATTCACCAAAAAATAAATATTTCTTTGCCAGTTTCAATAATTACAGAGGATTAAGTTTAGATGATAAAACAAGGGATTATGTTGACAGAAATACCGAGGTCAAGTATATTCGTGACACGAGGTCACACAACTCGGGTAATACTCACGGTGAAAATTTGCATATTTGAGCGGTCGAACGAAAAAAATAATTTCTCGAAAACTAAAATATATTTTCACAAAAAAACTACACCAAAATTATTGGGATATATTGGGCTACAAACTATGAAATTAGGAGTGAAGTCGAACATTGGGCGACTTGCCACAATATTTCAAATTTGTGCGATGGATGCTAACATTCTCTGTTACGATAAGTTAGTCATACGTCACTTGTCACGTGACTTATTTCCTTATTTGGTCATAAAATAAAGTTTTTGTGGTCTACTGAGTTTGTAGTATACATGTCATAACATCCTCTCTTAAAATTTAAAAAATGAACTCCTGAAAAGCAAACTCGAATTTTTGCTATAAATCATGGCTTGCATCTACACCATTGGCTTCAATGATGAGATACTCAGAATTGTTTTCATCACACAATCATTTACAGTTGTAGGTGAGGCTAAAATACATGTATAGCAGGAAATATCTAAGTAACCATTGAGAAATGGGAGTAAACTACATGGGGAACCAACCAGGACTTCATTTGACTGTGAAGGAGTCAATCAAAGGACTGGAGTCCTACGTAAACCTGCAGGGTATGGGAGAAATATGGGCCTACAGAAACCTTTGCAGGGAGAGAATAGCCCCTCCATGCAAACACTATGGATTACCAGAATTGAAAAATAAAAAATGCATTGGAAAAAAAGCCTTAACAAAATTGTGATAGATTGCTAGGTTCTCTTATCAAATGTCTAGTATTTATTTGTGCTAAACAGGAGGGGAAGTTGATGTTGCATCATAACTTACTAGGAACTGAACTCCATCCACCCCTCCAAAGGCAGGTCTTAACCCTTTAGGCCCTAATATCAGTATCTATATTCCTCATACTCTTCTCCGTACATTCCTCTGGTACTGACGAGGAGAATTCTCTTAACAATCAAAGCTTCTTAGATTGGTGATCATTTCCTTTACTCTCATGATCTTAACCTGAGTGATTCAGCAGTATTACTAGATACAGTTGTAAGAAATAAGTGAAATGATATTAAAAAAGAAAATTAAATGTCACTCTTAGAGTTTCAAGGGTTAATGAATAGAAATATGCATTCATTTGCGAAAAACGAACAAAAAAATTGAAATCAAAGTATGATACCTCATTGTTGGTTAAATAACCAACCACGTAGGGTCCAACCATCCCAGGAATTGTTGCTGCTGTGTTGGTGATTCCCATGAGGACCCCAGCATATCTTGGGGCAATATCCAAGTGATTGATTTCAAAGCTAGATGTGTTAAGTGCTAACACTCCAAGAGCAAGTGAAAACAAAACAACAGCTAGAGTTGTGCCATCACAACCAACATAACTTGTTGATACCAGAAGACATGCTGAAATGAGAAAACCTTAACAATAATACAATAATGATTAGTATTTATAATTAAAAGGGTAATTCATGTCATGGAGCTCAGTACTTGTGGCTTAATGTACCTATGCTGTGTATTGAATAGAAAAAACAATTGTATGAAAAAATAATTATGTACAAACACAAGGCAAATACTGCTCACACTGATCACAAACAAAGATCCAAGGCACTGAACATTTACATAAGCCTGTAATTTTTTGAAAAGAAAGTAAAACTTTGAGTTCGTGTACATGCAGATGCATGGAAGAGGGAAGAGGAAGATGCTGTGCATAGCAATTCCAAATGGTTTTTTTATGGATTTCACCCTTTGTCTTTATGAGAATAAGTTCCATTGGTTCCACAACATAAACAATTTCAGCTAAAGTATCACTAATGTAGTAAATGACACCAGATGCCAATGGAAAAATGGAACAAATTAGATCATAACTTCACAATAATAAACTTTTCATGAAGAATGCATCATGTGGGATGACAGGTACGCACCTCCAGTACCAAATATTTTGCGAACCTCTCCAGTTGTTAATATTTTGTTGTAACGCAACCAATCTGCCACTTGTCCCCCGCCAACCAAAACAAAATAAGATAATAAAAAGGGAATGGCAGAAACAAAACCATTCTGTAACAGAAATAAAAAGAAGTTTTAAATGCTTGATGCATTAAAAATGTTTGAAAGAAGAATTTTTAGTCCTCTCAAAAACAAAGAAGTCATAGCTGGTGAAAAGAACCTTTGATGATTAAATATCATTGCATAAGGTGCGTCTGTATTAGTAAGATAAAGTGAGTGACAGACAATGGTATCCTCTGATAGAGACATGCTTGGAAATAAGACCCCTGAGCATACTACCAATATGACTTGAACTATGAAGTTCTGATTAGTACTTCAGATGCTCTACCACTAAGCTACAAGACTTGTGGCAGACTAGGCTGTTTAACTAGGTCACTGGTGACAAACTTCCTGCATACTGCTAGCATAGGAATTTCAACATGTGGTACTTCTCAGCCATGAAGACATAAATGAAGAGATAAAACAATTCACAACTCTAATACTGTAGAAAAAGAAAACTTCCATTTAACCCAGTTTGAGGTCCATGCTGTAAGTTATAAACCAAATTCAGTTACAAGGTTCCATAACTTTCAGTATTCAGTATTGACTGAAAAGACAAGGTCAGTAATGGATATTTATTAAAGCTCTGGGTTGAACAGATAAAAGGGGGAGATTTCAATTCTCACAAAATTGTGAAGTCATCAGGCCACACAGGCGAATACTCAGAGGCGGATCCAGGGGAGGGATTGAGGGGGTTGCAACCCCCCCCTTTTAGGAGCATTTGTCTTTTGTTATTTGTTTTTATTCTTCCTAAATCAATTATAAATAAAAATTTTTTAAAAAGTTTTCCAGTTCCACCATTCGACTGCTTATCAAGTTATGAAAAGGTAATGTACATTTCGCGAAACGTGTATGCGTCAAAAATTAAGGAAATTAAGGACCTTCCTTTCACGATCATAGCTGATGAGAGTACTGATCCATACTCAAACCAGGATATCTTATCTTTATGCTTGAGGTTTGTGGACCAGTCTTCGCCAAACGATGTCAAAGAATGCCTGACTAATTTCATGCATTTGGAACGAACAAATGCCACCATGATTTCAAGAAAGATTTTGAAATCTCTCTCTGATCCATCTATTTCTTTGGATCCTAGCAACATCCGTGGTCAGGCATATGATGGAGCTTCCGTTAAGTCAAGTGGAAAGGAAGGAGTGCGGGCCAAGATAAAAGAGATCAGTCCGTTAGCTCTTTTCATACATTGCTATGCTCACTGCCTGAACCACTCCATCGCAACATCATGCAAACTGTCAGAAGTGCGAAATTTGATAGGTCTGATCAACGAGGCATATCTATTTTTAATTAACAGCCCAAAGCGACAGCAGCTGTTTGAGTTGACTCTGAAGGAATACCTGCCTGAGAATTCCCACGGTAAGCTTCCAGGTCTATGCAAAACACGCTGGGTGAAAAGACACACGTGCCTAGATCTTTTCCTGGAAATGTATGAGCTCCTTGTCACCTTTCTAGATGCTGTTATTTCCCCCCACGAGTACCCAAACCTGAAATCGTCTACTGAAGCTGGAATTGGGACAAAGATACTATCACAAGAGCCCAAGGACTGAAAGCCTCTTTGTTGTCATTCCAGACCGTAGTGGTTTTTATTGCGATCAAGAATATTCTTGATGAAGTCAAAGCTCTTGCATCAAAGCTGCGGAAACGGGACCAAGATATTTTTGAAGCTAATATGATGGTTGACGAAGTAATTGGAAACATCAAGTCCGTTAGAAAAAACATTGACAGCGACTTTCAAGTTTGGTACAAACAAATATTAGACCTTAATGAGAAATTGGGAATTGTTGAAGCTAGTCCCAGAAAGACAAGTATACAGAGGAATCGCTCAAACATTCTCAGTTGTAGCCCAATTGATCATTACAAAAAGTCTGTGGCTATTCCCCTTCTTGATTCTTTGATTATTCAAATGCGAGACTGATTTATTAACGAAGATCGCCACGCCCGTCACTTGCTTCATTTAGTACCCTCTATCATAGTTAATAACACCTTGGAGCTATCTAAAGCAACTGAAGGAATGATGTTTTGGGAGAATGATCTTCCATTTCCCAAATCCCTTGGGAATGAGCTGCGAATATGGCAAATTATGCGGCAGTCAGCAGAGAAGGAACTTCCAAGCAATCTTCTATTAGCACTTGGCACGTGTGACGGGGATGCTTTTCCAAACATCTTCTTCTCATTACATGCACCCTACCAATCAGTAGTGCTCACGAAACGGATCAAGACGTGCACCAGATCAACGATGTGTGAAGAGTGCTTTTCCAATCTCGCTATTATTGCGGTGCATTACCCTGAGAGAATCGAGGTAGACGAGATATGCGAGGCCTTTGTAAAAGCTCATTCTAGGAGACTCCTTCAGGCTACGTTGTTTGATTAACGAGGTATGTAGAGAAACGACAAATAACTATGTTTGATACTGCTCCCTTTCAATCATGCACTTTTATTTTTGGGTTTCTTGCTGAGAAATAAGGTAAACTCCATATTTTATATCATACCTTCACAACGCTTTTCAAGTCTCAGGAATTCTGTAAATGGC